GACATTAGCAAAATGATGATTCTTCTTGTGATAATTATTCAAGTCGGGCAATGTTCTGCGTTTCTCTAATTAATTAATACCGCGCTGATTATCTTGAAACTTAAACTCCGTTTAATCATCATTAACACCTCCGATAGCCGAGGCGCAAACGATCCCCCGGAAAAAAAACACAAACATGGCAGTCGTAGAGGCTTTATCGCTTCGCGATGCAACCATCGGGTGGATAACAACGATAAACTCGGCAAGAAATTAGTAAATTACAGCAAGCCGCGGGGCGGAGTCTCCCGGGAGTACCGGGAGTTACGAGTTAGGTCTTTATTTCATCAGAGGGGTGAGGAAGTAGTGTCTTCTGTATAATTACGAACAAAAAAAATATTTTATGAATTATGAGACAATTTCATCATTTTGCAAATGTTTAAAAAGTTGCGACATTGAAAAAAAAGGAATGTTTTTTTATACCGATTAAATGAAATGATTCGAATGAGATTTTGACGTTGATAGAGACTTGAATATATTTTATACATATATGGTCTTACAGAAAGATTTTGTGGAAATATTTCTTTTTTTTTATATATATAAAGTCTTAAAATAAATTGAAGCATATTTTTTTGGTTCGCTATATTTTAATCATGATAAATATTTCTTTCGTTAGAAATATCTAGGATCTTTATTCGTGTCAACGCTTGCATTTACGAGCTTGTTAATCACTTGACGATTCTAAACTGTTAAGTTTCTCAGTTTAGTGGTAACGAAATATGTTATCTCTACTATATAGGCTCATATCGTGTTAGGCGTGCAATTTAACACGTATTACGAAATCGCATTAATTGTGGCGTTCGAAGCGTCTCAAAATTCCTCTCCAACTACGGGACTAAATTTGCGTGCCTCCCTACGCGATTATCATCCTCGTCCGTCACACTTTCGTTATATCGTCGCGAGCACAGCAGGGAGGTAAATTTCACGCCGTTATTAAGGGACACCCTCGAGATCGGAGTGTCTCATGGCTTCGCATCTGGCAAGGATAATGTTTCCCGTCGACCCTTTCTACCGTAAGAGCTCCCTGGTATTTTCGTAAAAATGACATACTCGTTGTTGCAATACGTTAATGTAATTTGTATTAAATGTTATTTGCATTCAACATTAGCATGGCGTTCATAATATAAGTAGGCAGAACCGTGCTTTCTTATTTCAAGATGATAGGAAATAATAACTGAAGAAGTTGAAACGATAATTAAATTCATTTTATAAATATATTTGAAAAATACTTAAATTTTGTTTGCAAATTGAAGTAAAACTTCCTGGAAAATTGGAAAATTTTTGAAACATTTTCCGAGTAGACATTCTGAAAAATTGTCCTATCGCGTTGGCATGCAAATTTGTTTTGTTTCAGGGGTTTTATTCGCCCTATTAGTTTATAGCGCGAATATTATATTAAGTAAAACTCATGAAACAAAGCAAATTTACATGGCAATACGATTAGACAATTTTTCAGGTGCGTGTTACACCTATTCTATTGAATTTTGCAATGTTGTAGTTGCATGATAATCGCTTTTCGCTTGGAGATTATCTCGCTGTGTAATTATTAAGCGTATTTATTAGCTCCGCGTTCGCACAGAAAGCTCGAGGACGAGGCGTTACATGACTCGAGCGACGCGTATTCCCCTGTACCACGTGGCCACGCGGAAATTCCATTAACCGCCAGGGCAAACTCGGCAAATTCGTCGCGACGATCCCCTAACTTTGCCATCATCACCAATCGACATGCAGCTAACCTAATCGAGGCAGCCGCTTTAAGTTTCCCTCGATCGAGGAAGGATCCAACGAAGCGTCCAAAGCCAATTAAGAAATTGATAAAGCGACCTTGTCGCACGTAACGCTAAAAATTCTCTCTTCTCGTGTTCACTAATGTGACCAACGTTGCCATCAACTCCGCTCGCACTTCTGTCGATTTATTATCGTTATTTATCGTTATTTTGTTATTTATTGTCGGAAAATTGTCAAGAATAAAACGTGGCGATAATGTCAAGACGTGTGTCGGGCGAAAGTTATGGAATAGCGACCTGATTCGCAGAATATCTCGTCGTTGAGGAAGCTGTGCTGCAGTACTCACGACGAAGAGACGCGCTATCTCGCGTTTAGGCGTGCCCGCGTCTGAAATCGCATTAACCGGCTCCAGAACTCCGTAAATTCGTCGGGTCGGTGTCCCGGCGCGCGGCTGGGTCGGTTCCCCGATCCGGTCGGGCACCCCGATTCTGAACTCTCTCTCTAACTTGGCAGCGTGTCTGCGCACCGCATAGTCGGCTCTCGCCGGAACTTGGTGCTCCAGCAAGCCGACAAGAATACGGCAGCGGCGTCGATATGCACCACTGATAGGGCGTTAATTACGCACGCGCCTTCCCGATCGCCTTGCACGTCGCATTTATCATTCAACTCAGTGTCGGCATAATTAAGCGTAATATTGCCATTTGGGGGAATAAGAGGGAGAAGACGTAGCCACATAATTAATAGAGTTAAATTGGGTAAGATTAGCGTCGGTTCAGTTACGAACTTACAAATCTACTGGCATTCTTGTGAAATTTAGGACTTGACGAGAGTTATTCTCGGAGAGTGTATTATTCTCACAACTGACTTTTCTAACTATCGGCGTGTTCACTTGAAAAGTGTTTGAGATGGGAGAGCTTTTAGGTTTAGTTAGCTAAAATCTTTGAAATTTTAATGCGAAAGGTCACACTTGGTTAAAGCAGCGTTTAAATTTTCATTGAAGAAGCCTTCTCACGAAGGCAAAATCATGAAAGGCACCACTCTCAACTATCGAATCCCAACTTTCTTTGGACATTTCCTACCGCATCTGTCGTTTTAAACAAAAAAAGGAAAGAAATATCGAGTTTCCAAGTTTCAGGCGAGTTGAAAACAATTCTCAATGGTACTTTTGCTCGCCAAGTTTTTATGTATTATCCCGAAGGAAACGGCACTTCGTCGACATTTTTGAGGAACGGCCGACGAGTACACGGCGTCGTTGAATTTTCTGGTTACGTCTCGGTGAGCATCGGTGCGACAACAAGACGGTTAACGGGCCGTCCCTGAGAGCGGGAGAAGCACCTCCGAGAGAAAAGTCTCGTTCCTCGAGATTGAACGGAAATTATACCGGGAGAGGAAGAGGCCGACGACACGGAAAAGTCGTCGCGATTTCCTCCGTCGCTGGCACCGCAATCGTTGCCATTGTTCCTAGTTATACCTCATTACAACCTAAGTATGCAACCGAATAATGAGAAATAATTAAATAACATGGTAGACAGTCAAGAATTCGTGTACCAGCATTTTTTCATAATATAAACAACATTAGTAAGCTTTTACAATACTTAATTATTCATGTGTGTTTTGTGCTGTAAGACTGACAAATATGTTGGCGCGCAGTTCTATTTCGAATTTAGTCACGATATGTGACTTTCGTGAAATAACGTTAGACTGTTTATTGCGATAAATTATATTACCACATGTCTCGGTGGTCGAATTGGTGAGACGCCCGCCTAGTGAGTAGGAAGGTCCAGGTTCAAACCCTGGCTGATTCGAAGAATAATTTTTCGCATTAGACTTAAAATCTAAATTATTTAGACACTAATGTCCTGTTTTGGCTCTTATTACTTTGTATTTGTGGTTTCACATTAGAGCCTGATGAATTTTATTAATTATCTAGAATGTATTATGATTGAATCTTTAAATTTGGTTATTTATTAAGATTTCTAGCTAGTTTGCAAGAATTTATATTAATTTTACAAAATGCACATGTGTGTAAAGTTTCCTTTTTATTAGATTTTATTTTTCCATATGTAAGT